TCTGTTTTAATCCATTACCATGTTCAAAACAATGTTTTCTGTAATTAAATTGTATAATAAGAGTCTGAGCTACTACACAAGGAAATATGTGACACAGATATTACAAAACCATACAAATAAAGAATTTATTTATTATATAAGTCAGGGGTATTCAATTAAAGTTCCAAGGTGCACCCTCTATATTTTCTTCCAAGCAGAGGTCCGAAAAAAGAAATCAAATTTTTTTTTACATGTATTGTATTTTTACATTTAGATACATGCGATGCCATGTGACAGAAAAAAAATGCTGTTTCTGTTCAGGGTTTTCCTCCTGAAATCTATACTATTTTAATATTTTAGCCTACTAGATCAGACATGTCTTGTCACATCTAGATATAGATAGATAAATAGATAGTATGAAAAATAACTATATTTGCAGCATTGTTGTTTTCTGCTGTGTTTTGTTGTTTCTGTTGTTGTTAAAATAACCGCGTCATCCGCAGCTCTTGAACTTGGCGCCGGCGCGCGTCCGGAGAGAGAGAGAGAGAGAAAGAGAGAAAGCGCACGGAGCTGAAAGGTCTTGAATAAAGCGCATTTGGCTTTTGATAAAAATACTAGAGGATATAGCGCTGAAAGATATTTACCATAAACGACCCTGAGCGCTTGTTATGTGATCCGCTCCGCTTTTTTGATGCCGTTCACTTAAAATGGTGCTGTGTTACGGCTCGCGGTCCGGATGGATGCCGGGGTGCGGATGCGGTCCGCCTTTAGAGTATCAGTTATTTAAGGATAAAAGACTCGAGTTACTTATAAAATTTTCACAAGTCCTTTTCCTCGAGTCAAGTCTGGAGTCATTTCAGGTCGAGTCTGAGTCAAGTCTGAAGTCTATAAAAATGCGACTCGAGTCCAAGTCACTAACTCGAGTGCCCATTTCTGTTATGTATTCTACACTCATGGCATGCACACACATTAGGATAGGTTAGATGTCTGCCTCCGCTGCGAGTCCCTATCAAGCACTTTACCGATTCAACTACTCTCCTCTCCTCCTCCTGCCTGGCTCTTTGGCCTGCATCACTCACCGCAGCGCAAGCCTGTTCTTGATAAAGCTGCTGTGAAAACGTGGGAAAAGCTGATGACGAAGAAGTTGAAGTGAAGCGATCATATAGGCAGAGCAAAATACTTCATCGCTCCGTCTATAGCGCATTGTGATTGGATGGTTTACGCTGTCAATACGGGAGACAATCCAATGGGCCACTGGCTGCTCGCTGTCCCTGC